GATGATAAGAAAAATCAAACACATTCAAAATGAAAGATTTGGGTATAGCAAATGAAGTTCTTGGAATATGGATAGAAAGAGAGGGGACTACCGGAAAGATGAAACTTACTCAAGAAAAGTACGCTAAAGATCTCCTAAAAAATTTAATATGCAAGCATGTAGACCAGTTTCAACACCGATCGAATCAAATCTAAAATTAACAAAAGAGATGGCTCTGCAGTCAGAGAGCGAAATGAAAGGAAAACTGTACAGAGAACTTATCGGGGGACTCCTTTATCTGGCGAACTCAACGTGCCCAGATCTGGCATTTGCAGCTAGCATGTTAAGCCGTTTCTGCTCTAATCCAGGTATCGTTCATTGGAAAATGGCCAAGAGAGTACTCCAATACATTCAAGCAACTGTAAATTACGGTCTACACTACGAGAAGTGCGATCAGAAGCTGTGCGCACATGTGGACTCAGATTGGGCCGGAGATATTGACAACTGGAAGTCTTCATTAGGCAACATGATAATTCTAGCGAATGGACCCATCAACTGGGAATCAAGGAAACAAAAATCTGTTGCGCTTTCGACGATGGAAGCGGAGTACATGGCCCTATCTGACATGACCAAGGAAGCCATCCACATGAGAAGGATGCTAAGAGAAATGCAATTTGAAAGTTATGTGAATGCACTGACGATAGTTTACTGCGACAGTCAGAGTGCCATTCAGCTGAGCAAAAATATTGTTCACCATGGGAGAAGTAAACACATTGACATCAGGTATCACTTCTCCCGTGAAGCTCAAGAAAAGGGGGAAATTAAAACAGAATATATCCCTACAACAAAGATGAAAGCAGATGTGCTAACGAAGGCTCTTCCGAGAAGCAAACATGAGGCAAACATCAAGCTGCTTGGACTAAACAAAGCCTAGATAGATCCACTGGTAACTATTTACAATGGTGAAGACAGGTAACACGACGTATGTGTGTGTGTATATCGACTGCTCAGAGCAAGAGGATTACAACTCAAAATTTTCGATGTTTTAGTTATTGTACTTATGGGAATGCTTGTATCGATTTCTATCTTATGTATAAAGATTATATCTCTAAATGGCTTATTATAGCTCTGGGATGTACATATAACAGTTTTGCAATATGCTAATACACTCTGTTATTGAATTCAAGAGGGTTACATTTTGAGTTGTAACAGTTTTCAGCTTTCAATTAATTGCATTCTTGGTGAAAGAAAGTTGCATATAAAGTTGCAACTCTTTTGCATTCTAAATCTATCTATCTATATAACCCAAAGACCACTGATGGAATAATAGAAGATGACTTCCGGGGAAAACATGAAAGCAGAAAGAAAACTGATGAGGAAATACTGAAGAATGTGAAAGAACACATACTGTCTTTTGAACGTGTTGAATCACACTATTGTAGAAGAAATTCAACCAAACAGTATTTAGATGGCAGCTTAAACATTAGTGAAATGTATCGGCTATACACAGACTATTGCAGAGAAAAAGAATTACCACTTGCTAAAAAACACATTTACTCAACGGTATTTCATTCACTTAATCTTTCATTTCATCAGCCGAAAAAAGATCAGTGTTGTATATGTACTGGATATAAGAACAGTACAGATACAGAGAAATTACAATTGCAGGACAATTATAACACACATATAAAAGAAAAAGAAATGTCAAGAGCTGAAAAGACTAAGGACATTGAAGCAGCAAAACAGGATACAAATAAAATTGCTTGCTGCTTTGATCTCCAAGCAGTTCTCCCTTCACCTTGTGGTGAGTGCTCTTCCTTATACTACAAAAGGAAACTCTCATGTTACAACTTTACAATTTATGATATTTCAAACAGTAAGGGCCACTGTTATTTTTGGCATGAAGGCTTGGCCAAACGAGGTTCAAATGAAATTGGAACATGCCTCTATAAGTTCATTACTTCATTGCCCAATACAGTTAATGAAGTAGTTTTGTTTTCAGATAATTGTGCAGGGCAGAACAAGAATAAATTCATTGCTTCATTACTTTTATACTGTGTAAATAATATAGACCATATTAACACTATTACTCACAAATTTCTCATTCAAGGGCACACACAGAATGAGAATGATTCAATGCATTCCACCATTGAGCGTGAAAAACGAAGAGTTGTTAAAGGTGGGACAATAACACTACCTGCTCAATGGGTACCAGTACTGAAATTAGCCAAGAAAAAAGGCAGCGTTTATAATGTGACTGAACTAGATACAGCAGATATCTTCAATTTGAAAGACTTATCACAACAAATGGGAAACAATTTCTCCAAAAATGAAAATAATAATTTAGTGAATTGGCCCAATATTAAGATCATTAAGGTCATGAAACAAGATCCTTATACCATCTTCTACAAGCACTCATATGCGCAAGAGGATTTTGAAAAGTTAAACATTCGACAAAGAATGAGAGGTAGATCTGCCAAAGTCATGCTGCACCCAGCTTATTCTTCACCACCAGGGATAGATGCTGGAAAGAAGAAAGATTTGCTGGACTTGTGTAAAAGTGGTGTCATTCCAAGCATGCATGCATCATTTTATAATTCTCTGAAAGTTTCCAGTAGTGTTGAAAAAGACTGATCTCTAATTTGCTTGATAAAACCATAGCACAATTAGTGATACTTTTTTAATGGCTGTGTTAATTTTTTGTGAACTTTCTTACTTTTGTTTTTATTGTTTGTCATGTTTGAACAACATGGGTCTCATAAAACCAGAATGTAACATTACATTTTTCTGTTCTGTTAAAATAAATACTGTAACTTTATATAAAATGTATATTATTATGTAATGGCAAACAGCTGTTCTAAGTAAAAAAGAATGGCAAACAGTTGTAACTGAGAAAACAATAATGACATTTTGAATGCAAAACTGTTGCAACTCAAAAAATATGTAATAATATAACAGAGAAAATACATTTAAATAATATTATTATTCCAACTCAATGTAATGACTATAATTAACATTCAAACCAAATTCCATTGATTTTAAACAATTCCCTGATTTATCAGCTGGAATTGAAAACTTCAAATGGCTCTCCTGAAAAATCTATATTTTTGAGTTGTAACACTCTTGTTCTGAGAAGTCGATATATATGTATACATATATCAAAATGGATATGGGAGTGGCTTGTAAGGAAAATTATCAAATGATTAGTTTCAGTGCATGAGCAGACTCCAGGCACACCAATAGAGAGGGTGTTAGGAAGTTGTGAATGTGACCTTTGTCCTTGTAATTATCGCACCCTCTTCTCTGCTATGCGAGGAGTGAGTTGAGTTATATAAACCCTGTCAAGGGAAGTTGGACTTGGGTTCCAACTTTAGTTGGTCTTGAACATGTGTTGTGCTCTAATGTACATTCCTTTTTAGTCCTCTTATTCTTTGTCTTACCTCGACAGCACTCTTCATTATATCCATATTCTGACAGGTACAAAACAAATTTTGACTATTTGTTACTCAGAAATTCAGCTTGTCAGTATGATAAGCTGTGATCATAATTCTCTTATGAATAAAAGTGATTATTTTAGTACTTATGAAACTGTGCCAGTAATTGTTGTGCAACTCGAACACCAACTATATAGTGTATTCACTCGGACACAAGTCAAATCTCATCATTAATTTTTATTTAGTTTGTAAATAAAAATTAATGATGAGATTTGCCTTGTGTCCGAGTGAATACACTATATAGTTGGTGTTCGAGCTGCATAAAAAATGATTATATTAATGTTTGTACTTCAAATATCCTTCAATTTGGATTTTTGAATTTAGTAATACCCCAACTTATGTAAGTAATGTGGCCATAGATCTTTACATAACTCAAATTTGTAAATTGCTTCAGTGTAACTATGTAATTAATAACTCAATACTGTATTTATTAATTAATAAATAATATGTGTACTGTACATATACAGTAATACCCTGAACTTATGCGATAGGTGGGACCAGGGTATAATTTCGCATATAAATACATACAAATAATTTTTAATTGGAGCCGGAGACTAAAGAAAACAATAAATTTAGAAAAAAATGTTTAATAAAATCTTAGATAATACATATGTATTACACGATTATCACACCATAATTTTAACATCGTTTCCATGATGCTTGAATTTAAAGATTGAGAATTTTTTCTTTACCTTTTATAGTTGTTCTGACCATCAATTCTGGTAGATCAAACTTCTTTGCCAATTCACAAATTTTCATTTTTGTATCGAAGTCTTTAATAATGTTAACTTTACATTCCAAAGATAAAGTTTTTCTTTTCTTGTTTGATGCAGAAGAATCAGTTCTACTTCGTTCAGATGACATAGTAGAGTCTTTCAAGTCTCCACAGATATAACAAACACAGAAATAAATAACACAAAATAAATTGTAGCTATATGTCGATTCCGCGTGACACGTCCGAACATTTAAGCCGAACAATAGTGTGGGGGAGTGAGTAATCAAGAGCTGCGTGGCACTCAAACAAGAGACGAATCAACGAGATTTGAAAATCACGTAAGTCGAGGTATTACTGTATTATTATTTTTTGTATAAAATAATTGTTTTTGAGAAAGAGTGCCCAGTACGCTTGTGTACATGATTACAATTAAACCGAAAAGTAAAGGATTAGCAGAGCAATAAAGTAATAAATTGGTACAGTGCGAAAGAAAGAAAGGATGAATGAATGTTTGAAATAGAATAATTCTAATTCTTTGTAAAATTACATGTTATTGATACTTTCTCAAAAATTGGAAAAAAATCTGAGTATTTACATTTTACCCAAATTGCATGCTATATAACTCAGGGTATTACTGTATTCAGATGTCTTGTATGACATTTTTGCTATTTTTCTGGAGAAAACTTTTTTGAAATAAAATTTAAACATTTGTGATATTCAATTAGGTAGATTTCAGATTGTAAATAATAATTAGTATCAGATTTAAAAATTTAGTTTAGTCAAATCTGTAAATTAATATGTTTTAATTTTAGGGTGTGCAACACTAATGAAGAAATGTGTACAATGCAGAGCTCAGATTGATAAATTACTGCCCTTTATTGTCTGTTGTGGAGGAACAGGTGAGTTCCCTACTCCCAAAGAAGAAATCCACAATAGCACAACTCTAACCCTGCCACAACTTTTACTATTGTCAGGTAACTTGTTTTTATTAGAAACTGGTACTGCTTTTTATTGGTTAATTAGAGTGTTGATGAATAACTGTAGTAAGATTTTGTTAGAACAGAAATTAGAAATTATTATTCTGTTAGTAAGATCATCATTAATTTGAATAATTGATACATATATTTTTACATTAGCACCTGCAGCTGGTCTTTCCACTGGTCCTGGCCAGTTAATGAATAATGGATGCAGAGATAATAATCATGATATACAAAAACTTCAACAACAGTTACAAGATATTAAAGAACAAGTATGCATATTTTTACATAACTTTTTGACACGATATCTATATTTTATTTATGTATTTTTGTTTTATTTCAGACCATGTGTCCTGTTTGTTTAGATCGCTTAAAAAACATGATTTTTCTATGTGGGCATGGAACTTGTCAAATGTGTGGAGATAGAATGTCTGAATGTCCAATCTGTCGCAAAACAGTAGAAAAACGCATTTTACTCTATTAAGTTCTACCATTCCTTTTCCAATTAAATGATGCCAGCTGCTGGTTGTTTTATATAAACATATTAAAAAGAGAGAGGAAAAAATATATATAAATAGAATAATTATATAATTTTATTTTATGCTTAATTATTATAATATAATTTGAGATTTATGTCATGCACATTTTCCTGTTATGTGACAAATTCATACATTATAGAATAGTTGTTTTAATTATATTTAATTTTTTTTTTTTGTTTCAATGTCATTAGCTCTAAATTCAAAGCAATGAAAATGTCAGATTTGTTAAACAAAACAAATTTTTAATATTAGAATTGCACATTTTTTTATTGCTGTAAATATATCTGCCAATTATTTATTTAAAGAACTACAGAAGCTTTTGGCCTTCTTTTAAGTTTTACACACATTGTCCTTTTATTGAATAAATATAAGTCAAACTTTTATTTCTCTATTTTTTATTATGATTTACGTGAATAACAGCATTTTAAAATAATTATTCATTATTTTTATAAGATTTTATTATTTAAATATCACGGTTTGATGTAACATACGAGCTAAATATATTATGATTTAAATAACAACTAGTGGACAAATAGAATTATTTTGGTTATTTTATTAAAACATTAGTTGAAAATGGATAGTTTCAGTAGAATATATTCCTTAAAAAGAATAAAATTTCAAATTAATTTTCTTTGTGGTTAATCAATATAGCTGCATTGTAAGGTGGTCAGCATGTTACTGTGGGAGATCTGGCTTGGAATTTGATGCAGATCCTCATACTTTATCATGGGTGGTATGGATTGATGCATCATTTTTCATCTCACACCTATGTTACCGACCTTGTAGATCAGATCTGCCCATAATAACTAATTATAAACATGAATCTAACATGTGCTGGTGCCTTGTGTTTTCTAAATCAATCAGTCATTATTTGTGATAAAAGAAAAATATGCTTTCTCATTTATCTGATATTTCAAATTTTCTAAAAAATGCTTTTTATTTACCATATGGTTATAAGTTTCTCTGTTATGCATTCTACAAAAAGGAGACAAATTGAAATTTTGCTATGAAAACTAGTAGCTAGCTTATCTAGAATATGAAGAAATGATTTAATGAATAAAAAAATTAGTTCAGATTTTTACCATTAGAAGAAGAGATGGTACTGCAAACACTGCTGGAAAAAAACAAACTCCCATTTTTATCTGGGGCATAAAATTGACAATGACATCTTGCTTCGAAATATTGATGTATATTTTAAGTAAAAATTTATGGTCAATTTTATTAGCATGCATAAATAAAGATAAAGGAATCAAGTGAGAATTTCAGATTTTTTGATTTCAAATATATAGTAGAGTATCGTTTATCCAAATCAATTGGGGACTGGGGTTGTTCGGATAACTTATTTTTCGGATAACCGATTATGTACGAAAAAATATATTAACCTACCCCTTGTTGAAATTTTTCTCCATTGCGTGTTGCTTCGCGTTGAATTTTCGTCAATGTTAAGCCTAATGTAAACTTTTTAAAATAATAATCATGGTTATTGTATCATTAAAAATTATTTCTCACAAACTAAATAAATATATTGAAAAATATAAAAACCAAAAAATATATACTTTAGAAGATGATCTAGTATCAAAAACGTTTGATTCAGCACCCCACACAGTCCTCAGAAAAATACCACACAAAAGTGCCAGTGCAGCCAGCTAAAACACACACACCAACAAAAAAAAAATATTGGGGTAGCCCAAGATATAGCCAAAGATTGCAGCGCCACAGCACTAGCAAAAATTTAAATTTGCCAACTGGAATTCTTTCGGATAACTGACTTTCAGATAAACGATGCTCTACTGTACTTTTACAAGAGATGCTCATTGTGTCATTCTTCACTAGAGATAACATGCTGAAAATGAAGAATTGCATGAGCCACAGTTTCATGTAGCATGTCATGAAGAAGAGCATGGTATTCCTGTTCTGTAGGAACATCAAAAATACAATACGTCATGCAAAATGATGTGTGTAACTTTCAATGGGTGGAAGTATATACCCTAACAGTTCCTTCATCTGCTGACCAGAGATGACCATATATTTTTACAGCCTTTTCTCGGTGTCGGCTACTCTAGGATCCTCAATCCTTGTGATTTCTAACCGTAGGGATACTTGAAGGACAACAGTATACCACCACAATAATGCTTGTTTTGGATAATCAGATTTAAACAGAAAGTGGTTTTAAGCTTGCTTTCAGGTAAATGACAATGTTTTATTGTCCATGAAACTGGTCCATTCAATCTTTTGTTTTCAGCATATCATATCTAGTGATGGATAGTAAATTAGATAGCTCCTGCAATAACATGTCTCTGAAACCAGTAACTGTGAAATTCTTACTTGTATCCTTCTATGTTATGTTTGCTGCACCATTTCTTACCTGTAGTGAAAATATAAGCTAATTTTGTTTTTCCATTGTTTCATATTCTAGATAAGATACTAATTATCATAGTGATATCTTTAATCATCTCCCTTCCAAAATATGGAAGTTTATTTTATAATTATCCAATATTATAATGTGTGAAACTTTTTACTTTTAGTTTCAGTTATAACTGAATAACCATATAAATCATTTATATGCTTTGGCTTCATTTAAAAGATGTACCAATGTGATATTTACATCATTTTGCAAATTATAATTTTCAAGAAATTAAAGTAATGATGTGAAACAATTTAAGTAAAAATTAAATAAATTTTTAAACCTGACAAAATGATTATGTAATATTCATCAAAGAATATGTATAAATTATTATCTACAAAAATGCTTTTTTAAATAGATTTTGTAATATTTTAAGTTGCATTTCAATTCTAAAGAAATGATGTCTTTTTTTTTCCTTTTTACTTGTTTGCAATATTTAAAACATATTTTGAGAATGAAAAATGAAATATTAAAAGATTATTTTGTAATTAATTAATTTATTTATTAAAAGATATTTGAATTACTTCTAAATACATATCACTAAACAAAAGTAAAAAATAATTGCTGAATTTCTTAACAAATAATGGAACTATTTTTGATTTTTCAATAAACCATTATATGTTATCTCTTAAAATTAATATTTAAATAAAAGTTTTCAAATTTTTTAGTAATTCTTTTAATCTTTATCTATATGTAACAGCAAAAACTTTATTATTTGAAATTAGTTTTTCTCTCTCTCTCTCCTAAATTCAGGATGTAATGTGATATTAGACTGACTAATCTCCTTTATATATATATAGACTACTTGTCTTAAACTATGGTTAAATTTATTATAATTTCATATTTATTACAGTAAAAACTTCAAATAACATCGGGTATTTAATTTTCAATTTATTTTCATCATCGTTATACAGTAGAGCATCGATTATCCGACTCAATTGGGGACTGGGGTTGGTCGGATAATTGAAAAGTCGGATAACCGAAAAGTATGAAAAAATCCATTATTAGTGTAGTATATTATTATATCCCATGTAATTAGTATATTACTATTAACCTACTTTGCGTTGAATTTTCCTCCATATTAAGCCTATCAAACTTTTTTAAAAAATAATTATAGTCGCTAATAATAATTTTTAACGATACAATTATCGTTAAAAATTAGAAAATTAAGCCTCGTTTAAATACTGGCTCCCTTTCATGGTCGATCCAGTGTTGCCAGCTAAAACACGTAAAAATAATAATAAAGTAGCCAAGACATAGCCAAATATTGTAGCGCCACATCACTAGCGGACATTTGAATTTGCCCACTAGAACGCGGTCGGTTAACCGAGGTGACGGTTATTCGGGGTCGGATAATCGATGCTCTACTGTATATAAATTTACTGTTAGATAAGAATATATGAACAAAATGGTTCTGTATTTTAATATTTCTAAGCTTAAATATTTCTTTCTTATATTTGTGCTTAATATCATCTGCATAGGCATATGTTCAGGCAGTCCAGGAGTTCTAAAAGTCTAGGATTCCAAAATTAACATAAGGTACTGTACTTAGTGGCATGATGTTAATGATGGTTAAATGCTTTTGGCATTTAATAGGTACCATTTGAGCCATCTGTGGAGAGAATATGTTGATAAAACAATGAAAAGTATTCAATCTTATAATTCTATGCACCACAGTTCCATTCTTATGTTATTAATTTCAATAGTTATTTGTAAAAACAAAAAATTCAGTGTCTAGGATTTACTTATAAGATTTGAGGCAAGCATATATCTACAATATAAAATTCATTTAAGTCATGATCAGTAAATTTAATAAATTCTAATTATTTAATAAATATTAATTTAATTATAAAATTCTGGAAGAAAATAATCCGCCTGGAGAGGCAGTTGCCTGATTCGAATCCTCAACTGCTTAACCTTTTCAGGGGCACGATTTGTTCGTCCTATTTAAACTAACATACAAATAGAAAAAAAAAAATCTCTACTTTTCATGTCTCCAGTCCAAAAATGTAAAAATCTTGCGGGAGGGTCAATTTTTGACAGATCGCCATACTTTTCCCTTATATATAACAGCCGGAAAGTAAATAGCGAGTTTGGCATTAGTGTTTTATTGGGCTACAATTTGATTTTAAGTTGTAAATGCTGTTATAACCTTATGAACACTAAAGTTATCAGTTAAGGTTATAACACTTAACTGATAACATTTTACACTCGACAATGACACTCGAGCTATTCTGAATAAATCTTGCGCTATTTTTTTAACTTTAAACTAGGGTGACCAGATGTTCCGTTTTTATACATTTTGGCCCGATAACCTCTGTCAGGACACTTATAAAAATAAATACGGGATTTTTACATATTTCAAACGATTTTCTGTGTTCATGAAATTAGGGAGGTTGTAGAGGCGCAGTTGTCACAGCTAACAGTTAACCTTAAACCCTTTTACGAAAATTAGTATTGAATCTATCCGTATCCGTTACTTTTTAGCGGATCTTTTATCTTAATGAATTTCATTACTTAGTATTTTATTGCTACCTATCTTTAAAATTTCATATAACTTCAATTCAAATCACTTTTTATTTCTTAAAATAACATTTGGTATATTCATATTGCAAAAATTTTGTCATGCAAAAATCATTTACTATCGTAAAATATTTCCATATTACACTACTAAAATTAACTTTTTTGTCTACATTGTTTTTATTTTAACTCAACACTCTCCAAAAACACAAACGCTATGCTATCCCGTGTCACACTAAACTAAACAAAAACGCACAGTGCAAGTCAAAACAGGACGCGTTACTAGCGCAAAGCGTCAACTATCGGTCCAAGGTCACACGCACCGAGTACGAAAGTTGAGATCCGTATCCGCGGATATACATTTTTAACGATCCGGCACATAACTAGTATAGATGAGTGTTTAACCTGTTAGTTTGTTTGGTCTTAACATTGTTAATTTGCGAAAATATTCTCTCGACACAGGCTGAGGAATGTGGAAGAAAAGCTGCATCATAAATTGAGATAGTAGGGCATATTTACAGTTACCAAAACCATTCTGTATATTGCGCAACAAGAACCAATATTCTGGTATACTGTTATCCCCGCGTTCCTTTATGCAGCGAGAGTGTAGCAAAATGATATCACGAGCAGTGTTGGCCAATTAGAAACCAGTTTCAGTGTGTTCGCTGTAAAGCGCTTCTCGAGTGCTGTATAAAGAAACACGGGTTAAATTGTATGACCAATCTTTTGCTAAACGAAATGATCGCCATTCGTCATCTAACTGGTTTAGTTCATTTTCCGAAATTAATGTTGGGAAATGAATTACCAAACTTGCAAGAGATCTTGGTGTTCGGCTTAGGTCATGCGCTACTAATTGATCCAACACTTATAGTTTGGCAATAACGCCATTTGGGTCAAACGAAAATCTCATCTTAATTTCCTTGCAAAGTTCAACAAGAAATTTTAAGCAGTCCTTTTTAAATCGCATGGCACTAATGGTTGACAGAGGCTCAGTTTCTAAGAGGGACATTGTTCTTTCACCAAGAAATATTTTTTTTTTACATCTTGGCGATTTCTTACATCGCCTGGATCAACTTCAGACAAATTTGTAGTTAGCAAAATTTCTTCCCTAATAAAC